GCTTAAGCAACTTTAGAGAGTCTAGTTAGTAAGGAAATGGATATATTCATAATATAAAAAAAATCCCCCCTGTAAAGTTAAGTCTGAAATTTAGTTCACATCCCTTATCTCAATCACTAGCATCTTCCTCAAGCTCTAAAGCTTTGAAGTATTTACCATCTAAGAGATACGTTCCAATGGAGAGTCGAACTGCCCACAAGTCCTTAGGTTTTCTCGAGACGATCCTACAAAAAAAGTAAAGTAAATGAAAATAATTCAATTTCTGAAACAAGACCATGAATTTTAAAACTTTCTGCATCTTCAATAATGTGATTAAAAACATCAAGGTACAGTTTTGCAAATAAATTGATTGTAGATAAATTACTTTTGTTATGGGTGTAAAAATTGTAGAGCACTCACGAAAATTGTTCAACCCAAAAGATGATAACTAAATTACTAATTGTATAATACATTTTCAGATTCTAATTATGGAATTCACATGATGCATTCAGATTCGTGAGAACAAATTTTGTTATAAGAAATTGGTAATAACACGAATGTTCATTGTAGACATCTTAACTGGCAAAAAATACCGTGAACCTTGTGATTAGTCTGAATTCTGTCTTAAACTTTACAGTGTTATAGAAGAAAAGGGATTTGGATGGTAGGAGAAGAAAACCTTCCAACATCACCAGGCTTGACCAAGCCAGCGTTAGCCCTAAGACAAGGCATTGAAGCGGCTGTTTTAATCACTTTGGGGGCTTCCACGATGATGATTGGCGATCCGACTTGGAGCTTCGGTTTTTCCCGTGGAGGCTCTTTTGCGGTTTCACAGCACCTCACAGTTACTCGTGGCACGCAGGATGATCCACTGTTCCACACCCCTGATTGCATCTTGGACAAACTAATTGAAGAAGAAGCAAATGACAAAGCCATTGAAGAAGAAGAAGAGCAAATGTGAGTTTTTTTGGTGGTATGAGTGTGGATAAGTAGAGTTTTGTCTGCTTCAAGTAATTGGTTGCAAGCCAATGGTCTCAATATTTGTACCAATTTCCGGTTTTGTCTTGGTTTACACTTCGGTTTATTTAGTTCCAACCGGATTTCATCTTCTCTTATAACTTGAGAAGCAGACACAGTAGTAGAATGAATTGAAAAGCCTGCTTCAACTTTTCAGTTTTTGTTCTATTCAAACAAAAAACATGAAGAATTTACATAACATATGTTACATAATCAAAAGAAGACAGACGAAATTAAATTCACCCGAAATTAATATGGTTCAAGGGGCCGCCGGGGAGATAAAAGATTTAGACAAACAAAAGAAGACTTTATAATCTATACAAAAAGCCCAAAAAAATTTCTGATTCCATTTGTGAAGACTACACATTCTCATTTCTTAGTGTAGGAAAGATAAGGATCCTGTGCCATTGTTAGAACATCAGGCCTATCTGCTTGGTTATATGTTAGACATCGCCGAATCAAATCCTGCACAAAATGCAACAGTGAGTTCTCTCAAATGGAGATGCAGAGACATTTTATTACACCATTTGGTTCTAATTTATTGAAACCAATGAAAGACCGGAACCGCTAATTTACCTTTGCTTCATTTGAGATTGCAGGTTTTGTTGGGAACTCGACCTTTTTGGCTTTAATTATTGTGTCTTCTCGTAGTATCCGTTCCTGGGTTTGGTCATGTCCAAAGGGTCGCTTCCCAAATAGCATTTGGTAAAATAGGACACCAACCGACCATACATCAACCTGAGTTTCAAACACAATTTAGGATCACAAAACATCTAACACGTTCTGATTAAGACATCATTGACGAATCGCTAACCTTTGATGAGATCATAGGAGTTCTGCTAAGCTCAAAGCATTCTGGGGGCAAGTACCTGAAATCCAGAATTCTCAACCTTGTTAGCTATAAGACGTCAAGAAGTAACAGAGAGCTAAAAACAAAAAAAACATAACGAGGAGACGAGAACTAGATTGCTCACCAGTATGTTCCAGCTCCCTGTGATGTAAGCTCCATTCCTTGAGAATCAACATTGTCATCCACTATCTTGCTAAGACCAAAATCAGTCACTTTTGCTACTCCAAACTCATCAAACAGAACATTCCCGGGCTTCAGATCATAGTGGATTATCTTCTGTGATCTTTTATTCAGATAAACAAGGCCTTGAACTATTTGTACAATGATAATCCTCGCTTCTTTCTCAGGAAGCACATTTGTTGCCTTTAAAACAGCATCAAGGTCTTTTCCTGCATTCGTAATTCAAAACATAGGAATGAGAACTGCACGCAACAGATAAATCCTTCTTTTATCTACAAAGAGATCAGAGAATTCTGATTTACCACTACAGTATTCCAGAACCGTACAGAATGTATTCAGGTCGATTTCAAATGAATCCCAAAGTCGAACAATGTGGTTATGCACAAGATTTCTATGGATATTCTTTTCCCTGAGGGCATGTCGGATGTAACTTTGCTTCTTTTCTTCACTCCACTGAGCATTTAGACCATGAAGCTTGCACGCAACATATTTATGGTCCACCAAGTCATATGCCTGCTGAAAATTCGTAACATCAATTACTGCAAACATTTCTCACATGTAAAAGGATGTAGTATCCGTCAATATTCTGACCTTATAGACTTCACTAAATCCGCCTTTACCAAGAAGGTTTAGAAGAGCATATCGGCAATTTAAAACTCGGAAATTGTTGAAACGAGAACCATCTTCATCTCTTATGCGCTTCATCTCCCGTATAAACCGCCCCCTCTCCAGCTCGTACCTCTCTCTCTCACGCAAAACTACCTCCTCTTCCTGAAAGGTATAATCCACAGATGAATGATAAGAAACCAAAAACCAATCAACATAGAGGAAGTAAGAAGCTGATATGATGCATAAGTAGGAATATACCCGCTTAATACTAGCAAGACGAGACTTGTAAATCTCGTCAGGGATGATATCCTCCTCCTGTGCTCCTGATTCTGTTTCAGTCCCATCACTCTTATCTGTAAGCAAATGGAAAAACCAAGGGTGCTAAACATCATTACAATTTTCACAAGGAAAACATGACAACATACAATACACGAGACCGCGACTAACTAACAAAGCATGCTTAGGAAACATACCAGTGTTTTGTCGTTTCTTAAGAGACTTTCTTTGTCTCTCAATAGCCTCCTTGGTTTCCAGCAATTGTCTCTTCTCGTTGCATAGTATACAGAAAAATCAGAACTGGTACTTCAGGGAGCATTGGTATCAGTTTAATAGAATCTTTGCTACACAACTAAACTTACAAGTTGAGCATTCAGATCTTTCAACATTTGTCCGTCCTCCCATGTTTCAGCTATGATTGTTCCCGTCCTGACATCACCAAAATAGCCACACAGCTGATAGATTGAACTTTCATCACAGATTCAATAAATTAATCTCATAACCGAGAAAGAATATTTTGAGATGCAGGCTATAGAGAAACATGAAATTAACTCCTATCAAAAGCTTTATTGAAGATGGTTAAGTGGTTTTATGAAATGCACATAAAAGTTTGCTAAACGTGCTTTATTATACTTCCGAATCAAATATATTCTCAATAATTATGTCAGATGATTACAGAAATGAATGGTATGTTAGATATATGCTAAGACGATAAGAACTCATATGAATACATTATGGCAGACCTGAGTACACCAACACTGCCTAATCGCAAAGAATCATGTCTGACTTTTGTTCTTGCTTCTTGTCTCTCAGTTTTAGAAACAGAGATGAGAAGGTCAGAGATTACTCTAGTTGTCTGCATCAAGAAAAAGAAAGTGCACTATCAGCTTAGACAAAAATATTACCCACATGTTTTGCCTAAGAGTGTATAAGTTATTAAAAAAACACAGAGGATTAGCCAGAGAATATTGATCATTAACCACACTAAAGATAATATTGCTAGAGGGTGTGCAACAGTTTCTACCAATTTAGGCACCAAGTTGATATGAAGATAGCCAGTTTGTTTTCAAAAACACATTAACTAAGAATCACTCGGAGGCCAAAATGTTGATCATTAGCCATTACAATTCGGTTCCACATTCAATGCATCCATATCTCTATCTTATCTGCAATAGACTGCCTATTATGTCTACTTAAAGAACTACAAATCAAAGCTTCACAAAGAGCTTATTGGAAATGGAGTATAGATACGACGTAGATAATTACATGATCCCACCACACTTCACTGATATTTCAGTTCTCTAGCAGCAGCATCGTTAAATTTAGCAAGCATTCTAACCAAATCAGGAGACTGATAATGATTTACCTTTTTCATCAAAGAACTACCATGCTTCGTTTGGAGAAAGTTGTTTATTTACATTCTTCCAGAATCATTGATAATACTAAGAGTAACAATGCCATTCTACGTGGGACATTTAAATAAACATAATAAAGCTTGCTGGGTCATGTATTGGAAACAAAATTTTGTTTACCTTTTGCTTCCTTTGTTGTTCCTGATCTTTTAGATCTTTTACCTCCTGCATACATCACGATTAGACTAAGCTGGGGAATAAGAATAGGCATTAGCTAAATTTAAAAGGCATTCACACAATACGTTCTCAAGCTTCTCGCAAAGGTTGCGATACTCAGAAGAATCTTGTCGAGCTTTACACAATTCCTCCTCCAGCGCAGTGATTTTTGCACGCAGAGATGACACCTCTTCCTGATTTTTAAACAACCAATACAGTAATAAAGATATAACTATATGTTCTCATTGTTGAGAATAATCACATATAATAATAATCTGTTCGATTATTCAAACAAACTTATAAAATACAGATAAGTCCTAGACACCGAGACGATTACATATTCTCTTAGGCAAGAGATATTACAGAGTAAAGGAAGTAATAGGAGAAACTTACATCCTGGTTAGAGCATTCACCATTCCTGAGCTGTCCATCAGGCCTCAAGTCCTGAAGAATAAAATTGCAAAAGTTTTATCGATAAACTGCATCTGGTTGCCAAGATCAATGAAAATCCAGATAAAGATTCTCTTTAAGAAAACTGGGGAAAAAGGTATCGTAATTCTTTTTTTCCCTTCTTACTTCAATTAAGAACATAAAACTCATCTCCACGTTTTTGTCAATGAAATTTAGTGTAATATATGTAAATCGTCGATGAAAAGAAGAGCGGTTGCATGTAGGATCATATAAAGTAAACAACATTAACCTTTTGATCAGAGACATCCAGTTGACAATTTGCAGCTGATACTGGTGCAGCCAAAACCTGAGATTTTGTTACATCGTTATTAGTTTTAGAACCACGACCTCTGCCTGTTGATGAAGCCCGACCTCGACCTTGTTTCTTCTTATTTACATCAAGGCCTGTCTTGGTCTCAGCCTCATTTTTCCTTCCATCATATGATGCATCTTGTGGCTTCAATTAAAACATTATAAGTTACGAGGAGACAACACTTAACATTACGATAAGTTGTTTCAACATCACACAGAAAGACGTCAACCAGATAAGGGACGAAAAGAAAAATTCTTTACTTACTTCAGCATGATCAACAACATTGAAGTTGTTAGACTCTTGAACTTTTTGACGCTTTTTGGTATTGGCTCGGATTAAGAAATCTCCTGTATTCTGAGACAGTAACAACGAGAATAAGATATAGCTAAAAAGGACTGTGTTTCTTATACATGCATCTACAACTCCAAGTACACCTACATACATGTATACGTCAGGACATGAAGCCCACATTGCATAAAACTCAATAAGAATCAATTTTTGTTAGGCACAAACCCATCAATACAAGAAGCTAGATGATAATAAGGACATTAACAACAAATGGGAATACTATCAATAAACCACCCTTTTCAACTCTGAGTCTGGAAAGCACGAGAATCATAGTATAGATTAGGCATACAAATCTGAACAATTTGGTAACAAACATCTGAAGCTA